TTCTGTTTAGCTAATTCTTTTGCAAGCTGGTATTTTTATGACAAGATTAACAGAAGCAACAGTGTGCTAGCAGTAACACTGCTCTACATAAAACTTTTCATTTGAACTAACAAATCTCCTTCCTGTTTACAGAAAACAAATACCTCTTTCGAAGTTACACTGCCAGATCTTACATAGACCAGGGTAAGGCTGTTTCTGCCACCAAAATCACCAGTCAGCACACATACTACTACCAGGTAAAACACTGCCTGGGAGCGTTTCTATGACAGCAGCCTCCTTTTGTCTGCAACAGTCATGGCTACAAAACGTCTATTGCTCAAGCTGCATTAATTTAATAAAACACCCATGCTCCGTGTAGTCTCGCTATCAGTACTTCTTTAGTTCCCTTTTCTGAATTAGAGAAAGGAAGTCTGCTGCAAGGTAGAATTCTAATATTTCTTATTTCTTCCAAGTTATCTTTTTGACCACCCCCCAAACTCAAGGCCTTTTTTTTTTGCTTTAAAGTTTTAACAAATAAGTTAAGAATTTAATTACTCTAGGCATTCACGGCTTAAAAAGCAACTTGTAAGTCATATGAAAACTATAAATTGTCTCATTTTCACCAGGATTCTACCCGAACTTTACTATAGTTTGGAATGAAGCCAGAGATTGTCACCACTTCTACGACCACGGCTACAAGTACTACAGAAATTCTCAGCTGCCCTATATAATCCTTTATCTACTTGAGATCCAGTCACTTATTTTAAATGGATTACAATAAATCAACTGCATTCTGCCTGTGCAAAAGGCTAAAAACAAATACAAACTGAACAACCTTAAAAATATTAATTTCAAGACAAACAGGTGATACTAATCAGCTTTCAGAAAGCAAGTTACAGGCAGAAAGCAAACAAGGCAATGGCAAGGCAACAGGGCATATGGGAAGGAAGAGGCCAACGACTAGAAAGGACAGCAAGCTACAGGCTAGCCAAGCTTAAGATCTACAAAAAACTATTTCTTCCCCTGGCTCACTGAGGAAATCCTACATAGCAGCAGCATTCTCCGCCTTTGGACATGGAGCACCTTACACTGCTCTAACAATTTTTTA